AGGGGTGTCCAAACTTTTTGCAAAGAGGGCCACATTTGATAAAGTGAAGATGCCCGGGGGCCAATAGTTCCTTCTGACATGTTTTTAAACCACAAGTTACTTTAAAATACACACTGTTATAAAACTATTTTCATTGTCACAATTACCTTTATTTTTCAAATGACAATGTAACCAAATATAAGCCACTCAGGCAGATGTGAACAACTCTAAAAACACAATTCTGCCTTTCATTCAGTCAGGTAACATTGAACAAACTGTATAGAATACCTTAAATTTCCATGAGTTAAATATCTGTGCCTCATGAACAGTTTAAACAGGAGTTATAAGTAATGTAAAGTGGTCTGTTATCATTAAACTTTAAAACAAGTGAATTTTGCCCTTGTCTTTTACAAGATCTTTCAGACAGCAATAGTTTGTGTCACATCTACAGGTACATAACATCAATAGTTATAACCAAATCATATTCAAGAGTTTAATAAAACAAGTGCCATAAGTCCAAGTGCATTAGTGTGCTTTAGGCTTTTCACTGTTAATATTGAAAGATGTTACCGTTCAAAACACTCAATTTCAGATTGATCAAGGGACAGATAACTTGCTGACACTAATGAGAAGGGTGATACTGAGATCTAGATTTCAGTAAAGAGACCAGGTCTGGCTTCAGGGCAGTGGTTGAGATGCGTAAAATGTCACGCAAGTGGGAGTCACTCATCCTTGACCTCAATCGGTTCTTGTTTAAGTTCATGACTGAGAATGTTTGCTCACACAAATATGTGGAGCCGAATAAGCTCAGCATTTTCTTAGCGAATGACCGCATTTCTGGAAACCTGCTTTTGTCCAGCTACCATTAAAGCGGCGGCCCTCACTGTCAACTTTTTTTTTGCAGTCGCCATGGCAGAAATGATTCGAGAAGGATTCGCGGCACGGATGCAGAGCCAGATAGCATTAGAATGGTGCTGCCACCGTGTAGTGAAAGGAGGAATTACATCTTTAAAGTTATGATTTATTTATTCTGACAGAGCTAGCGAGCCATAAATAACACATTATAGGACCAAAGCTGCGGGCCGTATGAAATCTGACCATGGGCCGTGATTGGACCGTGGGCCGTGATTGGCCCGCGGGCCGGACTTTGGACATGCCTGGGCTAAGCAAAACCAGTAAGCTCATGTATTCTAGCCAAGAGATGCCTTTCAAGGCAACAGGTCTAGCGACATCGCAACATCTACTCGAGCGTTAACCTTCACCTGTATTTTACTAATGTCTCTGAATGATTCATTTTTTACACAGAAGTACGTTCGGAGAGGGAAGTGAAAATGTCTGTTCTGAATGTCATACCTACTATAATCACCCAGGAATATACAGTGGTACCTCAGAGATCGAACTTAATTCGTTCCAAAACCGTGTTCGAACACCGATTGGTTCGAACACCGACATAATTTTTCCCATAAGAATGAATGGAAATAGCATTAATTGGTTCCCCACTCAAGGATGCTCCTAACATGGGCCATTTTTCACAAAGTTTACAATATGAAAATACAGTACAGTACATAAAAGCATACACAAAACTAAAAACACAGTTATAATTAATAGAATAAATGAACATTGAACTTCACCTTACCTATTCTTAGGTTTTATTCGGTAAAGTCACGTAGGTAAAACATTAAAATTAATAAAAGTAAAATAAAATAAAAATCACGACGTTTCGGAGGCAACACAAGCTTCCGTCTTCAGGTGGAACCGTCACAGCCACGACAGCTGTATCAAGTAAATGAGAGATTGCAGGAGCTACCACTCCGTTTATATAATGGTTGGAGAGGGGGGGGGAAAGGGCCAAGTAAAGCACACTTTTTATTCATATGGTAAGGTGAGGCTTAAGACTAAGAATAGACTGCATAACAAAGGCTGAGCCTTTGTTATGGAGAGGTACGGTTTGTGACTCAACCTGTGACAAGGAGACAACCACTAAACATGGTAAACCTGTAATAGTCTGTCAAATAAGATTGGCCAACTAAGTGTAGTTAAATCTTTTTTGCATGGTTAATCACATCTTTCCAATGATTACTCAGTTTGTAACCATCATCACGCTTGAAATTATGTCTGTGTTTGTATATTTGTATGGCTTCGTGTACAAACCTTTGATGGTAGCCAGGAGGTTTGCAGAGAACCTTGGTCTCGGAAAAGACAATTTCATGAGAGCCCACCGAGTTGTAGCAATGATCGGCAACGGCCGAAGAATCAGTTCTGCCGTGTTTCAGATCTGACTTGTGCTCGCGGACACGATCAGAAACATGACGTTTCGTCATGTTTCTGATCGTGTCATGTTTCTGATCGTTGCCGATCATTGCTAGTAGTATTTCTGTTTACCAAAGTCCCAGTACCTGACACCCTAACAATAATTGAGGACTTGGTCCAACATGGATTGAATTCGGATGTACCTGCGATGGTTAGGCATTGCCTCACCAACACTTATTTTACCTGGAATGGCACCTTCTACAAACAGAATGAGGGTACCCCTATGGGCTCCCCCCTGTCACCAGTGATAGCCAACATGTTCATGGAAAAGTTTGAATCAGACGCCATCCAGACATCCACCCTGCATCCTTCCCTGTGGAAGAGGTATGTGGATGACACTTTCGTCATTTGGCCACATGGCCTCCCAGCATTGAACCACTTCTTGGACCACATCAATTCCAGACACCCATCCATCAGATTCACCATGGAAGTGGAGAAAGATGGTAAACTACCATTCTTAGATATTCTGTTTGAGAGAAGACCTGACAGATCCTTGGGACATTCTGTCTACAGGAAAGCCACCCACACAGATTCCTACTTGAAACCTGATTCCCACCACCACCCATCTCAAAAGAATTCTCTAATCAAAACGCTATATCACAGAGCTCATGGCATTTCTGACCAACACCACCTGGCCAGTGAATTAAGACATGTACATCGGGCCCTCAGGATGAACGGATACTCTGACCACACCATCCGCCAAGCTGTTTCTCCCACCATACAGAAACAGCCACATGAAACTCCGATCAAAACTATCACGTTGCCATACATAGCAGGTGTGACCAAAAAGATCTCCAAAATTCTAAACAAACATAAGATCCATGTCCGATTCAGTACAGTACATAAAATCCGTGATCTAATTCCATCTGTGAAAGATGTCATTCCTGACATACAATACACTGGAGTCTACAAACTGAGTTGCAGTTGTGGTGATTGCTACATTGGAGAAACGAAACGTCATATCTCTGATCGTATCCGCGAGCACAAGTCAGATCTGAAACACGGCAAAACTGATTCTTCCGCCGTTGATCGATCATTGCTACAACGCTGTGGGCTCTCATGAAATTGTCTTTTCCGAGACCAATGTGCTATGCAAACCTCCTGGCTACCATCAAAGGTTTGTACACGAAGCCATCCTAATATACAAACACAGACATAATTTCAACTGTGATGATGGGTACAAACTTAGTAATCATTGGAAAGATGTTATTAACCATGCAAAAAAGATTTAACTACACATGTTTCGACCATCTTTTTTGACAGGCACTATTCTTCAGTTACCGTATAGTTTCTTCTTCTTTTTTCACACAATGGTTTTCTTACTTTAAGTTTTACCACACATATTTGGCAAATCTAGAATTAATCCCAGCAACATAGCAAAGTGCTGTTTCATTTACATAACAAAGGCTCAGTCCCATTCACAGCAGCCGCACCTTTACATCAGCCGCACCTTAACAACTCTTAGAACCTCCCAGTCCAACCAGTCTACACAACAAAGACTCATTCCTGGCAGCGGTTTCAGCCGCACCACCTCTACATAACAAAAGGCGCAGTCCCATTTACACGCACCTTTACATCAGCCGCATCTTAACAACTCTTGGAACCTCCGAGCTCAACCAGTCTACACAACAAAGGTTCATTCCTAACAGCGTGCTTCAGCCGCACCGAACCTCACAATGTACGAGTCCTACAATAATATCCAGGGCCTACCTTGGCTCCTCCCACCCTCAACCAGTATATATATGTAAAGTAGGAGCCGACACCAGATTGCAGGGGTCTCGTCCTTTATTCCTTTCCTTCCATCCACACCTGTCCCCAGCCGTCCCAATCTCGTTCCCGCCAAAGGCCCCTTCTTCCCGCCCGTTCTCTCCTTATATCTCTTCGATCACCCCTCCCACTAACCCCTCTATTGGTGGGAATCCTTCCCCTGACACCCCTACATATACAAGGACTGTTTTCTTAGAATTTATCTTACTTGATACAGCTATCGTGCTGTGACGGTTCCACCTGCAGACGGAAGGTTGTGTTGCCTCCGAAACGTCGTGATTTTTATTTTACTTTGATTAATTTTAATTTTTTACCTACGTGACTTTACCGAAAAAACCTAAGAATATGAATCCTTGCAGTCACGAAAGCTTCAAATCTAGAATTAAGGGATTATAACCTTAAAATGTAATAAGTCTGTGTCACCGCGCCCTTACTAATTGCACACACATTGATGCAATGAATATCACGTCGCGGTTTGCTTTTCGCTTGCAAGTTTTAGATTTACTGCAATACACCCGTCCTTGGACGGGCAAAAGGTTCGTAGATCAAGATTTTTCATGTGGCATTGTAAATAATGAAGTAATTGTTGATGCGTATGGTATTTAATTTTGGTATTTAGTGCATATGATTTCCAATATTGTTAGACTGATGTAATGAAAGTTTATATAATATCAATTCGTTTCACGAAATGACTGGCTACATCTAAATGTTGACCAGGCTGAATGTTTTTAGCAGGGCGAGCTATTGCTTTTACGTGCAACGTTTCGGCCGTGATTGTATCCGCCAGTGGGCCCTGTTCCGCATTTACTTTAGTGTGGGTGTGAGACAATGAGTACAGTATACACACAGCCTCTCCACCCCTGCACTGCGAGCCTTGCTCTACAGTATCGCCCTCTCAAACTCACACGCGAGCACGCGTCTCCCCATCCCACCCACGCATACTTCTCGCAAGAGTAGTTGGCATGTTGAAAAATTTGCATTTATTTTACATCTTTTGAAATTTGGTTACAGTGCTAACAGGTTTTTCTTCGAGGACAGCTTTAGTTGTCTCTAGCCTGTGCTTGGTTGTGGTAGTACGGTGTCTGAGGACGAGCTATACATTACATTTGATGAGGTACATTCTACAAACAGGTTAGCCCGTTTTTATTATTATATTCACGTTTCCCTTAAGGTGTGTACTTTGAGATGTGCATTCGTGTCTACGCATAGTGCAGCTAATTGTTATCTCATTATGATTCTGTGCATCATGTTCATCTTTATGAAAACAAAGTGGCCTTGGGTTGGACACTGCTAGACGGATGATACCAGATATATGAAGCTGGTGACAATGTCAGCCAAAGGAAAGAGAACACGTCCGAGAGTGACCACCGTGGGGATGGAGTGACAAAATCAGCGCAGAATCAAGATGGTCCGTGGCATCGCAGGACCAACGTGATGGGCGCCTTTGTTCAGCAGTGAATATAAACAGGCTGCTGATGATGAAAATGTTGTAAGTGAAGTGAGTTATATTTCTTGCCGGTGTGAATACATTGTCTCTATTGTGTTATTCTAGTAACACTGTGACTGACAATGGATAAGAAACCTTTTCTTTGGCTGAGCATCCTGATGGTGGTTACAGGAGTACAAGGTAAGAACCATTTCATGGATTTATTTTTTATCCATTCCCACTCACGGCCAATTCCAGTGACGATTATATCGGAACTGGCCATGGGCCTTCCCTCGGTCGACTCAGCCTCAAATGAGTACTTGGTGCGGTGTAGTAAACATCGCCACTGGGGAGACAAAGGCCATCGAGTGTGGTGCTGGCCATCCACCCCCTCGTGGGCCGTACCGGCATTCATAAGTGTTCACTAGCAGCTTTTGCCCTAACAGTTGAACGGGGGATCGTAGTCTTTTGTGTGCATATGTGGGTAGCAGTGGCACAGTGGTTTGCGCAGTGAATTCCCAGTTACAGTTAATATCAGCGGCAAGTGATGTCAGAACTAGTCCTGGGCCCCCCTACTTCGACTCAGTCTTAAATGAGTGTACCTGGTGGGGTATGTGAACATCAGCATCGGGAAGACAAAGATTGTCAGTCATAGTACTTGCCACACCAGCTCCTTGTATGGCATTCTGGCCTAAATAGGTGTAACTCTTATCGAGATGGTTGAAGTCATTAATATTGAGTAATTACAACAGTTCATACATTATTTTGACCCTAGAATGAATCACATTTGATGTGCTGAATAAAGTGAGTGGCATCCCTTCTATATGTTTAATTATCTTCATGCAAGCCACCCACTTTCATTCCGCAAATCAAATTGATTAATTCATGGGGTCAAAATAATGTATGTTGTACTTTCGAGTGCAAATTAATGTGTGTACATTGAAAAGCCTTCTTCTTGGTTCTTTCGGTAAAGTCACGTAGAAGGGAAGTAATAAAATAATAAAAATAAAACATAATAAAATAATTCTCACGACGTTTCGGCTACAACGCAAGCAGCCGTCTTCAGGTGAAGAATGAGACACTGCCAAGCTAGGAGCTTATATATAAGCTGAGTTGGAGGTGGAAGAAGAAGAGAGCCTTAACAAAAGAATGTGCATATCAAGAGGAATTTAGCATATTCATGGGAAAATGCGTAGGAGGTGGACGGGGGGGTTTTCAAAGTCATATTATGCCCATGCATTATGCAGGATCAGCAGCACCAAAGGGAGGGGGGGTAGCATTAACAAAGGGAGGGCATGTTAATAATATGTAGAAGCAATGAAACATGTGAATGGGAGAACGGTGGCAGGAGACCCGCAGCGGAGCAAATAATGCATTCCCTGTGGAGAACACAAGATACACAGTTAATGCCAGTGAGTGGACTGCGGTCTCAAGGGCCTGAGTCACATCGCTGCAGACGTAGCAAGATCTGAAATCTCTGCAACCCTCAAAAACGCTAAGATGCCAGCTAGTAACATCAGCAAAGATGAGCGTTTTGAATTAGCTCAATTAAAAAAGAGGGATGACATTGTCATGCTCTCAGCCGACAAAGGCAATGCCACTGTCATCATGGACAAAACAGAATACAACACCAAAATCCAAGAACTACTCAACGATGGCATCTATACAAAAATAAAGAGACCCCACCAACAGCCTCGTCTCCAAAACCAACAAAATCATTTCTGCTTCAACCGCATTAATTGATCAGACCAAACAGTTCTCGTTGAAACATTCTGCAGCCAGGCCACCAAGATTGTACGGCTTGCCAAAGATACATAAAGAAGATACACCTCTTCGTCCCATTGTCTCTACTATCAACTCCCCCACTTACAAACTGGCTCGTTTTTTGTCTGAAATCCTACGGCCTTTCACTGGAAAAACCACCTCTGCGGTACTAAACTCTACTGACCTGGTATCGACAATCAAGGGGATTTCCCTGTCCCCAGACGACCTGCTTGTCAGTTTTGATGTGGTTTTCTTGTTCACCAAGGTTCCTGTGCCTGACACCATCGCAATCATTGAAGACTTGGTTCATCAAGGACTGAATACTGGGGTACCCCCCCTGGTGAGACACTGCTTAACCAATACATACTTCACCTGGAATGGAACCTTCTACAAGCAAACTGAGGGCACCCCAATGGGCTCCCCCCTATCTCCGGTTGTAGCCAACATTTTCATGGAGAAATTTGAGACTGACGCCATCCAGACTGCCACTCTACACCCGAACTTATGGAAGAGGTACATAGATGACACTTTTGTCATCTGGCCACATGGCCGGCCTGCTCTAGACCAATTTCTCGACCACATCAATTCCATACACCCAGCCTTCAGATTCACCATGGAAGTCGAAAAAGATGGCAAGCTACCCTTTTTGGATGTCCTAATTAAAAGGAGACCTGATGGTTCAATGAGCCATTCTGTCTACAGGAAAGCCACCCATACGGATGCCTACCTAAAACCGGATTCCCACCACCATCCATCCCAGAAGAACTCCCTCATCAAGACTCTATACCATAGAGCCCAATGCATCTCCGACCAGGAACACATTGCCAGTGAACTCAAACACGTGCGCCAAGCTCTTAAGGCTAATGGTTACTCTGACTACACAATCCGCAAGGTCATCACTCCAACCGTCAAGAAGGATCCTGCTGAGGAGCCTTTCAAAACTATCACCTTACCCTACATTGCTGGGGTTACAAAAAAGATCTCCTAAATCCTGATTAAACACAAGATTCAGGTACGATTCAACACAGTACATAAAATCCGTGATCTGGTCCCGTCTGTAAAAGACGTGGTTCCAGAGATACAGTACCCTGGCGTCTACAAACTAAGTTGCCTCTGTGGTAGCAGTTACATTGGAGAAACCAAACGACATGTCTCGGATCGCATCCGTGAACATAAAGCAGACCTGAAACACGGTAGGACAAACACCTCAGCCGTGGCAGATCACTGTTACAATTCAGTGGGCTCACATGACATTGACTTCTCCAAGACAGAGGTTCTCTGCAAGCCATCTGGCTACCATGAGAGATTCGTTCATGAGGCGATCCACATATACAAACACAGAGACAATTTCAACCGAGAAGATGGATTCTGGCTCAGCAATCATTGGAAGGACGTAATAAACCACTTCGGATCTTAACTGATTGTTGTTCACGTTTATGGTGACTTTCAGACCGCAGTCCACTCACTGGCATTAACTGTGTATCTTGTGTTCTCCACAGGGAATGCATTATTTGCTCCGCTGCGGGTCTCCTGCCACCGTTCTCCATTTCACATGTTTCATTGCTTCTACATATTATTAACATGCCCTCCCTTTGTTAATGCTACCCCCCCTCCCTTTGGTGCTGCTGATCCTGCATAATGCATGGGCATAATATGACTTTGAAAACCCCCCCGCCCACCTCCTACACATTTTCCCATGAATATGCTAAATTCCTATTGATATGCACATTCTTTTGTTAAGGCTCTCTTTTTCTTCCACCTCCAACTCAGCTTATATATAAGCTCCTAGCTTGGCAGTGTCTCATTCTTCACCTGAAGACGGCTGCTTGCGTTGTAGCCGAAACGTCGTGAGAATTATTTGATTTTATTATGTTTTATTTTTATTATTTTATTACTTCCCTTCTATGTGACTTTACCGAAAGAACCAAGAAGATGAATCCCTGCAGTCACGAAAGCTTTAAATTGAAATTGAAAAGCCTGTTTACCTAATTTTGTATGACCTTGTAGAGATGACAATGATGGCTTTGCCTATGGTCAATCCTTGTCCATATGTAGGGGATGTCCGAGCCATCCTCACACACTCGCACCACACAGCCACGCAATCTCCGCACTCAACATAGCACACACCAATCATTTGCACGGGAATACACGAGACGAGGATGAAAGGTTAAAGGGCACTGACGTCACACGCACACGGCGCAAGAGACAGAGATGAGGATTCGAAAGGGGGGCGGATATAGATGGGATTAGCAAGTGGGGCAGAGATAGAGGGTTGAAAAGGGGCAGTGAAATGGGTGTTCGAGATTGGTTTTGAGGAACAAGTGTAGCTGTGCTTTGAAGAATAAATAAGTGCTTAACCAGTCTCCGACTCCTCTTCATCTGGTGGCAGCAGTGGGATGCCTCGCCTCAGCTGACGCAAGATCCCAAGGGGGGACACTCAGCCAGAAGACGCTCTTTGTGCCCGGGATGAGAATTGCTCGGGATTCATCCCCTGGCTTATTGGCGGGATCCGAGGCAGCTGCTCGCCCAGTATGGGCACCTTCCTCCACCAACCCAGCGGTGCAGACCCAGTGCAGCTGCCGCAAATCATCCTCCAGAGATCGGAGGATGGATCAGCTGCTGGAGGCAGTAACCACGCTGCTTTGCCGGCTGTTCCCCCGACTCGTTTGAGTCCTGAGGTCGAACGAGTGGGGGGAACTTCAGTCGCGTCACCTCCCCAGCGAGGGGACGGGAACCAACTGTCAGCCTTCCAGACCCGTCACTCTGCAGGAGCTATCAGGGGAAGGTGCAGCACCAGCAACACAGCCGACTATGCGTCCCGTGCGGGATTCCGGGAGAAAACCCTGACCTGTCCTCCCAATATCCGCCGACAGCAGCAGCAACCGAGGGACGTGAACAACCGGAGCGGAGAGCACAGGGCGGAAGCGAGATTCAGCCCGAAACTCGGCCCGAAACTCAGCCGAGGTAGCCCGCGGAGGGAGGACCAGGATGGAGCCGCCTGCTGGGCATGATACAGAGGTTCACGTCCAGGTCAGGAGACTGGCGCGCTTTTGTCCGCCGGTTCGAGACGGCTGCCTGGGCACTGAAGTGGACGGAGGAACAAGCCCTGACAATACTGCCCACTGTGTTGGACGACCTCGCACTGGCGGTGTTCGACCGGATTCCGCCTGCAAAAAGAGGATCCCTGCTGGGGGTCTACAAGGAGGTGGCAGAGGTGTTCGACCCTCAATCCGGGGGGTGCCAAAAGTTTAAAAACCGCCAGCAGGAAGCGTCCGAATCATTCTTGGTTTTCCAGACAGAATTGTTGACGCTGGCAGAAGCCGCATTCCAGCGGCTCAATGAGCCGTGCCTGGACTCGTTAGTGGTGGAGCGGCTCCTTGCCATGGCAGAGAAGGTGGGAGTGATGGTGGTGGAGGAGAAAGCCCGCACCTCGCTCT